ATTCAGAGTCGACTCTGTGAGCATGGTAGTGAACCTAGCACCCAAGAAAGTTGCAAATATTGTGGAATTATGCAGAACTTTGTTAAGGAAATGTTTTATTACTATATGTGAATTTGCACAGTTAATTGGAAAGTTGGTTGCCAGTGAACATGGTGTTTTATATGCACCAGTTTTTTACAAAACTTTAGAAATACAAAAGGATGTTGAATTGAAATTGAATAAAGGAAATTTTGATGCTAGGATTATATTATCAAATGAGAGTAAACAATGTATAAACTGGTGGATTGAAAACATTCATGATAGTTATAAACCTATTGTTTTTAAACCACCAGATAGAAAAATTGAATCTGACAGTAGTATGTTAGGATATGGAGCACTTGATGTAACAAATAATCTTACATTATCAGGTGTTTGGAGTTTAAGTGAACGTAATAAACACATAAATTTTTTGGAACTGAAAGCAGCTTTTCTTGCATTAAAAGCCTTTTGTGACAGAACTCGTAATGAACATGTACAATTATTTCTTGATAATACAACTGCCATTAAGTATTTGAATAAAATGGGAGGAAGAAAAGAGGAGTTAAATAATTTAGCTAAAGAGATATGGTTGTGGTGTATACATAGACAAATTTGGCTTAGTTTTTTTCATATACCAGGGAAGTTAAATATAAAAGCAGATGCGTTAAGCAGACACAAGTCTAATTCAGATATGGAATGGATGATCATTGATAGTATTTTTGAGTGTATAATGAATAAACTTGGTCCATGTGACATTGATTTATTTGCATCAAAACATAACAATAGATTAGAACAATATGTATCTTTTGGCCCGGATGTGAATGCTTTGGCTGTTAATGCATTCTCTTTAACTTGGAATACATTTTATGCTTATATATTCCCTCCTTTCAGTGCGATCAGTGCAGTGTTACAGAAAATTTGTCAGGAAAAAACAACCGCATTAGTTATAGCACCTTTATTTTCGACACAGCCTTGGTTTCCTCAGCTACTACAAATGATTTGCGATCAACCATATATTTTGCCAAAAGTGGAAAGGATTCTGACGAATCCCAAAACAAATCAAACTCATCCTTTGAAAAATATGAGATTGGCGGCTTTCAAGATCTCCGGAATAAAATGTGTGAGGGAGGAGTATCAGCAGAGGCTGCCGACATCATCATCAATTCATGGAGAGATTCTACCAAAAAAAAGTATGGGACATATATCAAAAAATGGCTGCTTTTTTGTGACAAAGAAAAAACGGATCGATTTGATCCATCTGTAAATAGTGTATTAAAATTTTTGTTAGAATTGCATCTGAACGGCCTAGGATATAGTGCTGTTAATACTGCTAAATCAGCAGTATCTAGTTTTGTTTACCTTATTACTAATGTGCAAATTGGAAAACATTTTCATGTTAAACAATTTATGAAGGGAATATTTAACAAGAAACTGGTTTTACCTAGGTATAATTGTACCTGGAATGTGGAAATTGTGTTAAATCTGTTAAAGACTTGGAAACCAGTGAAAGATATTACATTAAAAAAGTTAACATTTAAATTGGCCATGTTATTAGCTTTAACAACAGGTCAAAGAATGCAGAGTATTTTCTTAATAGATATTAGAAATTTGGAACTTGATACATGCTCAGTTAAAATAAGATATGGAGACTTGCTTAAGCAAACTAGACCTGGATATCAGTTACCAGAGATATTTATAGAAGCATTTAAGCCAGATTTTAGGATTTGTGTGGTTCATACATTACATGAATATTTAGAACGCACAAATAAGTTGAGCTTTAATAATACTCAATTGTTTTTGAGTTTCCAAAAACTGTATAAACCTGTAAAAAAGGGTACCATTGCTAAGTGGATTAAACAATTTTTAATTTTGGCTGGAATAGATATGACAATCTTTACACCTCATAGTACTAGAGGAGCTGCTACTTCCTATGTTAGTGGACGAATTCCAATAGCTACGATTCTTCGCACAGCTGGATGGAGGAAAGATAGTGTGTTTAGAAAATTTTATCAAAGACCAATTACTAATGACAGCTCTTTCAGTAAAGAAATCTTATTGGCCAAGGGGAAATAAGATAGTTTTGTGTATATGGATGTATATAATTTCCGAAATTTAGAATTAGTAGTGTTTTCAAGTAGTGAAAATATGTAGTGTTTATAGTATAACTGTTGCTACTTAACAAAGATTTTGATTGAAAGTGCAGAACTCTAAAGACTCATGTGATTCTATAGGTAGATTGGACTTACTAAATTAACAAATTAAACAAAACTTACCTAAGTTGTAGTTTGATGTTAATTTGGTAAGGTCCAATCTACCAGAATCACATGCCCGCACGAGTTGTGATTTGTGCCCACCCTCATTATGGAAGTTTCAGTTCCTGACTTTCTCCACTCTGAAGTCTGATTTGCATCATGTGATCATCTGTTCATTCATGTGATTCTGGTAGATTGGACCTTACCAAATTAACATCAAACTACAACTTAGGTAAGTTTTGTTTAATTTGTTAATTCCTGATTGAATGGCAACGAATCCGGAGTCAAACCACTTGATGTAGGCAGTTTGACATCCGAATTCAACTAACATTAGATTTGAACATAAGTTACGGCAGTAAGAGCTTGACGTGATTTTGAAGCATGCTCATCATTGAGGTACTCTGACATCTAGTTGTTTTTCTGATCTTTTTCTTTCATTTTGAGTGACTGTCCTATTATAAACTTTGAAATTTTCGAAATACTAAGGATAACCCGAGGAATAGATTACCTTAGCTGTATTTGGCAAAACCTCTCGGAATTTTTGGGTTCTCAATGCTCCTAAAACTTTGTTCAATATTTTGCCTTTTTTTTCGTTTTTTGTTCGAGCGTCACTGATGTGTCTTTTGTAGTACTTTAATCCTGACCACGTGTCCATGATGAGTTTATCGATTTTTACCAAATAAAACTTTTTGTGTAAATTGGTTCTTTTGAGTGCATGTTCAGGTCAGGGCTTCCAAAAATTATTTGAGCCAGCCGAACATTTTATGTCTGATCCCGATTTCAATCCCTTGGAAATTATAGTAATCAGTTGGTCATCATATAACCAATGATTGACATTAAAAAAATGATATTAAACTCTACTTTGATTTAAATTCAATGTTCTGACGTTAACTGTTAAAAATTGACAGTGCATCATTCGAAGTGTGCAACATAAGCGTACTAATATCAGCCTTAAACTCTTTATTTGTGCAAAATACATTGTCAAAAACTTTACTTTCGTTTTTATAAGCACATTTTCCTAATACCGGATGTTGACTTGACAATGCTAAAACATGGACCAGAGACGGATACGTAAAATCCATGTATGTTTACAAAGCACGATTGAGTTAAAGTAGCTCTTTCCACGTTATTTCTTCAAGAAAATACTCGAAATGAACGTTAGATAAAAGTAACAATGATAATTTTAACATTTTTGAAGAATTAGGATGCATAATTAAATTTCCCACCAGTGCACATGCGCACACGTGTACTAGTTCAAACAACGTGGTTCTGACGACTTTTCATTTAAAACCTTTTTAAATTTTTCATCAAATCATATTTATAAACATATTTCTGATAATTTCAGTCTTTTTGACTAAATTAATTAGATGCAGACCGCTGAAAAGTAAGAAAATAACTTTTATTTTAAGAATAGAACGATCAATGTCTGGTACAAAATAGTTTACCTGTCGCCTGAACAGGTAAATTTCAGCTGTCTAACAACTAATTAACCTTGATTAAAATGAGAAGGTATTAAAGTAGGGTTTATTTTGATAGAACTTATTCATCATGTCACTTTTATGACCGGAAATATGCGGCTGTTTAAAGGCAAAAGGTCGGTTCAAAAAGATCGCATAAACTTTTTAAATTATGTTAAAATGTATTGACCGTCTCTTAAGAAAGCCTTGAAAACTAAAAGTAGATGTCGGTTTCATGCTTTTCCCAGACGGACAATGTCCGTTAAATTTAAAAATATCCGGCATATATGACCGTTTTGGAAGCCATGGTTCAGGTATTCACCCGACTTATGAAAACAAAACTAAAGTGTTCCTGTCGAATTGATTTAAGTTACTTCAGAAAATCCTTAAAATTTGAAATGCTTTGTCCGACCAAAATAATTGTCAGTATATAAGAGGTCCTAATGAAGCTGGTGTGTTACTATCAAGAACAAAATATGAAATCTTCTTTTAATTTGTGTCACAGAGTTACACTACACATGGAAATTGGACTTTCAATTTCTCTATACAACCTCTTCAGTTAGTACAGACAGCTCCAATGAGTATAAGAATAATTTAAATCATCCAGGAATCAAAATATGAAGATATGAAAGATAAAATAAACGCATCCAGATTTTAAAGCAAACTGAGTGCTGAACTTTATATCTTGATTGGTCAGTGCAATTTGCTTTAGGCATCCAGTCTGCAGAAATTGAGAATTGCAATAGGATTTGGTCTTTATACTCAAAACACGGAGAAAAAGGATGTACACTCTCAAGTAATAAATAAAATAGTCAGGACTTAAAAGATAATTTCAAATGGTAGCTGTATACAATTTTCTATTTTTACAATTAAAATCCAACAGTGATTTTAATTGACTTGTGCAAGAATCTACACACAATAGCATATTTTCAATAAAGGTGTTTTAATATTTTCATTACCTCGTTCTATTAACAGTTATTTATTTCAAATCAAAAGCAAAAATAAATTCAGCAAAAAATATTTGGTGACCAGTCAGCGGTCTCGGGTTCACGTATTGCTTTTCTTTTTTTAAAGAAAGCAACTTGTTTTTACATTTTTATTATTTTTTTTTTTTTTTTTTTACTTTTTTTCTATTATTTTTTTTTCAACTTTTTTTTCTTGATTTTTGGAGAGATGAAAAGGGGGTGTGTATTATACACAACTTCATACTATACATGGCTAAATACGGTATATATTTGATGACAGTAGTTTGTTGAAAAATGTTTAAGCATACTCCTGTATGTTACTGATATCCCATGTTTTTCTGCTAGGTGTGACCATTTCTGTTCTGTCAAATAGTGAAGTAGGTGTCCATTGACTTGATTCTTCAGATTCCTTTGTTTTTTGCATTCTAGGTATATAACAGCTTTCACACTCTACAAAGTGAAAATGTAAATATATGTATAATTTACAATAAACTTTTTATTTCATAAACTAGAGACTTCCAGATAGAGGCTCATAAAGCTCACTTGGCATTTTTGAAACCAAAAAGAATATGCCTGTTGAATCTAAACATGTTGGGCCAAAATCTGTCTTGCTGATCATTTTGGCTGCACAAAGATTCTGAATTTTCATTATAAGTTGGAATACAATGTATAACTATAGCTATCTACATTGCAGGACTAACACTGTGTCCACATCCAATTTGATATTTGTTGGTTAATCTTCAGTTCTTCAGAGAACAGTTATGCCCAAAACACAAATAACTATAATAGGGTTAGGGTAATGGTCAAGGTCAGAGTGACCAGATTTTGGTATTCGACACACCCAAATCCCATGATGCTTGTGCATACAGAGTTTTGTTAATCTAAGTACTATAAGGTACAATATATAGTTATGCAGCATACACAAATCAGACAAAGTTTTACAATCATAAGGTCAAATGTCAAAGTCAACGTCATAGTGACTGGATTTTGATAAAAGACACACCCCAATCCCATAGTACATCAGCATATCAACAAGATTGGTCAACCTCAGTCAATACTTCAGTTTAATAAACTGCTTCGCCAAGCGCAAAAATGGACACAAAATTCAAGCTTGATACAGGTCTGAATTTGGATTGTAATTAAATATTTGACACATTATAGGTCTCTGACACAGAATAAATGTAGTCAAAGAACTCGAAAAAGGTTATATGATTTGAATTTATATTCAATTCAAGATTTCTTGCTTTCTGCAATACACTGTGCTGTTGCGCAATACTTTGTAAATCTGTTTTCCTTCTATATAGAAAGAATTATCCCAATATATTGTAAACCCTCAATTTTTTTTGGAAAATAGACAATTTTGAAGAAAAAAATTTGCCCCCCCCCCCCCCCCCCCAAAAAAAAATTACTTTAAAATATTTGAAGAAATTTTCTTTTTAATTTCTAAAATCTTGAGGAAAAAAAATTGCCCCCCCCCAAAAAAAATAATTTTTTTTTTACCCCCCGACCCCCAAAATTTTTTTTCACTCCCCCCCCCCCCCCCCCCCTTTTCCAAAATCAAAGTGCTGGATAGCACCTCTGGGAAGTTTGCAACTGTAGATGTGTATTAATTCAAATAGGTTATAGATGAGTATTATTTCAAATATGTATTTAATCAGGGTTTTTTGTTTTTTAACTAAACCATTTTCTTTTCAGCAATTATCAAAAATCACTTTTTTTCATATGTTTGTCATATAAAATTTTGATATTTTCTATTGCAACCTTTAAACTGTTGTTCTAAAATAATCAAATATACAGAAAGCTCTGTTAATTTCTTTATGTACCCATGCCATATCTAGGGCCTATGATTTTATATGTTTTTTCCATTTGTAACTGGGCATAACCCTAACCATTGCTAACCATAACAGTAAAATGACGGCACCAAAATTCAAACTTGATCTTGGTTTTGTGGTTAAAATTATTGTGTATAAATTTCATAACATTTGGTTGAGGCACACTAAAGTTTGAGCACGGAATTGAAAAAAAATTGTAAGTGTTCCGCGGAACCCGGTGTCTCGCCTACTTTGTCTGTTAATCGCAGGCTCAACAAAAATGAGGGAAAAAAATTAATAAAAATATTCCTCTATATACTATCTTTTGATTGTAAGAAGCTTCTGTCCAAGTTGGTAAAAATCCAGGATAGTTTATGAATCTAATAAATGTATTGAAAAATTTAACTGCAGACTGTATGTAATGTTAACTGGAAGAAAAGCCAAGTCAATTAATTAGTAAAATACGGAAAAACAAGAACAAAATTTTAACTAAATTTCCTTCTAGATACTAGCTTTTGATCATAAACAAGCTTCTGTCCAAGTTTGGTACAAATCCAGGATAGTTTAAGAAAGTTATTAAAATTTCAAAAACTTTAACTACAGAGTGACTATTTGTGAACGTCGCCAAAGCCAAAAACGAAATGTAGGATCGCTATGTCTCGCTTTTTCGACAAAAGTCGAAGGCTCGACAAAAATCAGCAATTTTTAAATTTGTAAAGGGGCATTACTCTAGAACAGTAAAACTGAGGCCACCAAAACTCCAATTTATTCAGTGTTTTGTGATAATGATCATTGTGTATAAGTTTCATAACATTTGGTTGAGACAAACTAAAGTTAGAGATCGTAAAAAAAAATTCAAACAACTTTTCCATTTGTTAAGGAGCATATCTCTAGCATTGTAAACTCGACGCCACCAAAACTCAACTTGACCTGTGTTTTGTGGTAATAAAAATTGCGTATAAGTTCCATACAACTTGGTTTAGGAAAACTAAAGTTAGAGAACAGAAATTAATTTTGGGATGTACGGACCCGACGTATGTACAAGTAAGGGACGTACATACTTACAGAAGAAAAAGGGTAAAAATTAGTACGGTGGGGACATAACAATAGCAGTATGACGACAGGAATAAAAAGTTTATATACACTAGATTCATTTATAACCCTGTCACACATTTTATAGTTGATGCTGTGAAATTTAGCATTGAGGCAATAACATTTGAGATTTTTGGTTTTCAGCCATTCATTTGATATACTATAGTAATCATTCTCTGTGTTGAGAAGACACACTGTTAATTACAGGTCAATCTTTAAGAATCATACTGATCCAGGATTAAGGATAAAAAGTTCTGGATCTGCCACTGCATGGCTAAACACTAGGAGTAAGAAAGTCATTTTGCTATTACATGGACAGATTTTATTTAATCATGTAAATAATTGCTACAGCACTTGTCTTGATACACTGAGTTATTCTAAGTAGAAGCTGACTTGTCTGCCTTATCCTTGTAACGATTTTTGTACAAATGTAATTGTTAATCGTAGCAATGAGGAGGCTGAGATACGTACGATCCTCGTGACTGTGAGCATGCTGGACGAGTGAAGGTCCTAAAACCCTGTCACCTGTCTATAATTGTTCAATCAAACTATTGTCACTTGTCAATTATCCAACGGCTTGGTCAAAATATAAACATGTTTCAGTAATGTCATTCATACAGGATTCTTTCGATACACTTGGGCTTTTACTTTATATTTAACAATAAACATTTGTAAATATCGTACGTATTAAAAATTGCGCAGGAAAATGTTCATTCATGAAATATTCATGAATGAAACGATGTCTCTCATAGATTTCTTTTGATTTTCTCTTCAGCGCATGGCAAATCCGCTTAGTAGTGTTTGTGATACTCATTTTCAATTTGAAGTTAACTTCACCTGAATTGTCGGTGAACATTCATTCCTTTTTTATTCAAGCTGTAATCTTTTCAACAGGACTCAAAATTTCAAAAGCATCTTCCTAGAATCAGTATTCAAACACTAGTACTACATTATCTTGGAGCAGAACATTTGTGATAGTCTGTCACCGGAAGTTTGAGGCTGACGCTTTAGGAAAGCAAACTTCCTAAAAAAGCATCTGAAGAAAATTTTCTTTTCGTAAAATGTGGAACAATTTAAGAGACATCCATACACTTAAACATAAGTTATTGTCTGAAAACTAGAAAAATGCTTGTTTTAGGCCCTTTTTGGCCCCTAATTCCTGAACAGTTTTGGCAATTACCCCCAAAATGGATCCATACCTTTTACTTGTGGTATCAAACCTTGTGGTACAATTTCAGAGCAATCGAAATACTAATACACAAGTTATTATCCTGAAACTAGAAAAATGCTTGTTTTGGGCCCCTTTTTGGCTCCTAATTCCTAAACGGTTGGGACCATCACCCCCAAAAACAATCCCAACCTTTCTTTTGTGGTATTGAACCTTTTGGTAAAATTTCATAGAGATCCATACACTTAAACTTAAGTTATTGTCCGGAAACCAAATGTCTAAGGACGACGCAGACGACGACGTGATACCACTATACAACCCCAAAATTTTTTTGCTGTCGTATAAAAAGTTATGCACTGTATTAAAATCAGACTGTGTTTACTATGATCAAATTCAAGGTCAGTATTATGCTTCTGCATACAAAATTTTTTTTTAATTTAAGTGCTACAGTACAAAAGTTACACACATAACACGAATCAGACACTGTTTTACTCTCATATGGTCAAAGGTCAAAATCAAAGTCAGATGTACCCGACTTTGGTATATGACACACACCCTGAAAATGATGCATCATCAGCATAGCAAGTTTAGTCAACCTAAGTGCTAGGGTAAATAAAATGCTCCGCAGGGCGCAGCTTGATACGACCGCAGAGGTCGAACCCTGAACAGTTGGGGGAAGTATGGACACAACATTCAAGCTTGATACAGCTTTGCATTTGGATTGTGATTAAATATTTGACACAGCATAGGTTTCTAACACAGAATGAATGTGGTCTAAGAACTTAAAAATTTTAAAAAAGGACATTCACCTATTATGGTCCAATATCCAAAATCTAAATACATGGTTAGATTCAGCATATCAAAGAACCCCATATATTCAATTTTTGTTGAAATCAAACAAAGTTTAATTTTGGACCCCGATTTGGACCACCTTGAAAACTGGGCCCATAATCAAAAATCTAAATACATGTTTAGATTCAGCATATCAAAGAACCCTAAGAATTCAATTTTTGTTAAAATCAAACTAAGTTTAATTTTGGACCCTTTGGACCATAATGTAGACCAATTTGAAAACGGAACCAAAAATTAAGAATCTAAATACACGGTTAGATTCGGCATATCAAAGAACCCCAATAATTCAATTTTTGATGAAATCAAACAAAGTTTAATTTTGGACCCTTTGGACCTCAATGTGGACCAATTTAAAAACGGGGCCCAAAATCCAAAACCTAAATACATGGTTAGATTCAGCATGTTAAAGAACCCCATGAAATCAAGAATAAAACCCCATTGAAATTGGTCAAGAAATATGCAATTTATAGGAAGTATCTTCTTTTGCACAATCCTGTGCTATTAAATATTTCTTGCTATTGCGCAAT